TGATACAATTGAAAGACATTTGAGCGTTTTCAAAGGATCATTTTTCAATGATAAAAGAAAAACAATTTGCAGTATTTTACTTGGAATTTCGGCACAATTTGATATAAATAATCGGATAACAGGAGAAATGAATGTCAAGAAATATTCCTCTTGAGAATAATTTCCTCAATTCAAGAAAATCCTTCTCTCCATGAAAAATTTCGAGTCAATGGTCCTGGTAAATGACGTGCCGGAGATCGATCGGTTAAGTTCAAGGAGAATTGATGATGAAAGCGTGTCCAGGCTGACGGTTCATGGAACAACGTGCCATGAATGAACGACCTGACGCGTCCAGAACGACAGTGGGGTATAGAAGGGATAGTCGAGGACTCTATTGCCACGAAGGGGTACGTATATAGTTAAACGACAGGATACGACCCTCTGAGTGGATAGGTGCATGCCAGTCAGGAGTGAGGAGTGAGGTAAAAGGTGGTGGCTCGTTTTCACAATCCTCTATTATCGATTACTAGCGTCGCCGCAGCCGCGACGTTGATGTCCTTTCCGTATTCTTTTTTCTTTCTGCTTTTTTTTCAAAAATTAATTATTCATCATCGCTCTTATTGCCCTGTATGCTGAGATTAAGGAAAACAGCATGTCTCGGTTCATCGCCTATCTAATTTCAATATTTCAATAAGCGTTTCACTTATTCTCAATTGCTACGCTCCCCAAATGGGATTTTAATTATAATCGAAATTCTATCCAGAGTGCAAAACAATAATTATGACATTTCTTACAGCCCAGAATTGTCCAGTCTTCGCCTCTTCCTTCACCAACCTTTACTCCCCTACAAAACTTTCAATTATTTTTCTGGGGAAATTATAAGATTTCTATCTTCTCCTCATTCCCGATCTTTTTCACAATTTTATTCGACGATTCCATGAACTTCAGACTTTGATGAATCATCAGAAATTTTTTCCTGTGGTTAGAGAAAAAATCATAAGGACTTATCTTTCTCAAAATGTCTTGAATATACAGAAAAAAAAATTCTCCTTTGAAAATTTATATTTTTGGTGTTTTGTTTAAAAAAATTTTTTTAGAAAATAATTTGGTATCTCTTCTTTATATTAAAGGACTGGAATGTAGATGTCTACGTGAAAGTGAGAGCATTAACGTTCACAGTCCGCAGAGGCGTCCGCAGAGGCAATACCCTCGAAGGAGTCGTGGGGCCTACAGGAACTATCCACTAATGCGAGATACCACATCGATGCAGCAACTATTCATCCCACCTTGGACTTTTACGCATTGTATCATGAAGACGTTGCAACACCATGACTACATGAATTCAGGCGATACCAGCCCTCTTATCCCTTCAGCTATAATTCATGGGTCTCAAGGGAGTCACTGAAGACTCGAAGGTCTATACCTCCCACGAGGTGAAACGAGTATTATCTTATGTTGGGGAAGTTTATGTTCTATTCTGCAAAAACGGAATTTCATTATTCCATTTTTTTGCATAAGAAAACGAGGAGAGCCTCGTAGACAACCTATAGCAAAATCTCTCGCCATGTGATTCTACATGTCAACTAAAAATGTAAAATGACTGTCCTTTTTGAGATCGCGTCATATTTCCAAAAAATGACGGTTGTGTGACCGTCAGTGACGTCACAACTTTTTTCTGATTTGTGACGGTCGTAAATAAAAAAATTGTGTCACCTGTAGAGATTGTTACATAATGATTTCTTGCAGTACATATTTAAATATTTTTAATTAAATAAATACTGGAAAATTACGACTATTAATTTCTCCTGTTTCAGACTGTTTAATCTCCTACCTTTGTTTAACCTGCGCAAAAAAAAATTAATATTTATTCACGTTTTCAATAAAAAATTTTCATAAAAACAGAATTTTTTTTCGAAGTTTTTGAAAAAAAATTTAAGAGTCCGCAAATGAATCGCCCTCGAAACTGAATTAGTTTTTCTCCCCGAATAACACGAAACTATTTTCCCCTTGAATTTAAATTTTTAATTTTCTCTCGACGAAAAATATAAATTATTCAACTTATTCAATTTTTCCTCGTCGTAAAGCAAATTCTGGGGTCGAAATATTTTAAGAATTTGGTAGGCAATGATTTGGATTTTCTTTTTCTGTTGAAATTACTTGTTATCAAATATTGACATAATAAAAAAAGAAAAAAAAATTTCTCAGCCAATCCCGAGAAATAAGAGTAGGCGGCATTACCCGCTGGGCGGTACAGGCACCAGCTCCCCTCCGGACACCTGACCCTCCTACCCTGGTAGGAGATGAGGAATGGGCCAAGATTGGTCGAAGGTGGCCCAATGTTGGCCACCATCGGGCCATCCTCGGCCTACCCTAGGCCTTTTCTCATTTCTTACCAGGGTAGTGATAACGCAACGCCCTCGGAAACGACTCCAGACATCCAGCTTTTTGTTCACGTATCTGTCCACCATACCTAAAATTTTCTGACCTTGGAGTAGATTTCTCACTAAAAGGATTCCCACCGGAATACTATAACCCCTCCTCTGCTACTTCAGCGGAGCCAGCCTACCCAGTCACGTCTTCTTCGTACTTTCGAAGCGGCACGTGCTGGGTACAAGCTCGTAGAAACGCACCATCCGAAGTATATACGACCGAAGGTAACAGGAAACGAGAAGTAGAAAACGACCGCTCGTTGGGGCGCGTTGTGTGCTTCAAGGGATACGACACTGTTGACGGCAGGGAGAAAGAGTGTGAGAGTTCACTGGCCCGCTTGGGAAATTCGATAGAATAGCACCATGGCCATGTATATTTGAGGCCCAACACTCACTTCCTCGGTTCCAAGGGGCAGCGGGAAACAAATGAGAGGGACCTTTTTGGTCTACGCGATAGTCTAGAGTCTTCAAACCGAATACAAAACTTACATGAATAGCGCCAGCGGCTTTTCGGATAATTATCTGTTCTGAAGACTTCATAAATAGGAGAACTGACAAAATCTGGGTATCATAATATGAGGAAGAAATCAATAGAGATATGTTAATTCGAGACAAGTTTAATCATTCAATGAAGCAATCTGCACGGGAAAAATACAGAGATCTTAATTCCAATCTTTCGTTCAAGTGACAGCTGAGAGAGCATTCACTCGATATTTCAGTAGTAAAAACCAAATCATGTCAGGCTGAATAAAATTCTTCACTTTCTGTATACGTGCAATAGCACCCGAAATACAGTAAAAAATAATAACATTCTTCTGATAATTAAAAATTCAATAGTAATAGTATATTTCGATACTGGTGCGACGGATTTTTCACGAGTTGGAGGCACGAGGCGAAGCCGAGGCTGTGCCTATCACACGAGCTGAAACATCAGTGTCGCATATGTGTCGACACGAGGTGTACGTAGCAGCAGCGATGGAAAATTTATTTTGTAAGAAACTTTTCACATTGAGAAAAAATTTCCACTTATTTGTTTCATCATTTTTCTACTGACTGTCTCTCACCACAATAATTTTCAGAACTAATTCAACGAAAATAGAGAAATAAAAAGAACTAATCGCATAAAGCGATAATATCAAATCTCTTCTCATCTTCCATCAAAATAAATATAAAGTTGAATAAATATTTAACTGTAACAGTTGAATACATTTATTAAACGGCTTCAGTCGCAATAATTCGCTGAAATCATTTAGAATCAACTCGGCAATCTTCTCTGTTAAGAAAATTCTTCATTGTCATTACTTTACTGTGATTTCATGTTCTAACTGATTTGTAAAAAAATTTCTCAACATTTCAGTAGTAGAAACTCATTCATGTCAGCCTTGATCGATTCCCTGCTCTTTTCTGATATTTGGAAATTTAATAGCGAAGAAAAAAATTTTAGTTTGGAAGAAATATCCTCATTTTGAGAAAAACTTTCCTCTTTTCCGTTTCATCATGTTTCTACTGAACGGTCTTTCACCACAATAATTTTAAAAACCAATTCAACAAAAAGTGAAAAATAAAAAAAAATAATCCCACGAAACGATAATATCAAATCTCTTTTCATCTTCCATCAAAATCAATATAACTGTTGATTATATTTATTAAATAGCTTCAGTCGTAAAAATTCCCTGAAATCACTCAGAATGAATTCGGTAGTCTTCTTCTCTGCTAAAAAAGTCTTCATTCTCATCACTTTACTGTGATTTCAAGCTCTAACTGGCTTGTAAAAAATTTCCTCAATACTTCAGTAGTAGAAACTCATTCATGTCAGACTTGATCGATTCCCTACTCTCTTCTGATATTTTGAAATTCAATAGTGAAGAAAACATTTCATTTTGTAGCTCATATTGAGAAAAGCTTTCCTATTTTCCGTTTCATCATTTCTCTACCGAATGTCTCTCGCCACAATAATTTTCAGAACTAATTCAACAAGAATTGAAAAATTGAAAAAAACTAATCCCACGGAACGATAGTATCTAAACCTCTTCTCATCTTCCACCAATAAACATAAAGTTGAAGAAATATTTAAATATAACAGTTGAATATATTTATCAAAGAACTTCAATCGCAAGAATTCGCTGAAATTTGTTGAAACCAACTCAACTCTCTTCTCCTCTAAAAAATTCCTCATTCTCATTACTCCACTGTGATTTCTAGCTCTAACTCATCTGTAGAATGACAAAAAGAAGATAATTCTCTCGGGTAAAATGAATAGCCTAGTAGGTGGTGTAAACCAAGCAGGGAGCAAGCACATAACCGTATCACTGCGTTTATCTGTTTAATTAGCCTCATTCAACGATTCCTTCCCCCTCTGGATTCGCCGAGACTGCATTAAGGTTTGACAAATGACGAGAGAGAGAGAGAGAGAGCCAGAGGGAAGTTTATGCCTGTGTACAACAGTGTAAAGATACACTTTGTCTGCAGTATCCCCTCTTTCTTCGTGGAATGAAGTTGGGAATCTCAGTCGGGTGGAGTTGAGGTACGATCATACAAGATAACAGTTTTAATTAAGCAATGTCGCAACAACAAATGAGACCATTCGGGATATTAATGAGTTTTTGGATTCGTCAATTTTTCATATTTATTCATCTTCATTTTGAGGATGACAACTTGAAAAAACTGCCGTTAGAACATTTTTTACATTTTTTTCAATGTATGGAGTACATGAAAAAAGTTTTCCACTGTTCAAAATTAGTGGGGTCAGACCCTAATGTGATTTTCCTTGCTTTATTTCTTCAAATGATAAAATGTCGAAGCAATTATTCAAAAATAATATTTTTTCATTCAATTTTATAGAATGAAAGCGTTTTCAGCTAAATTATAATGTAAAATACTAGTCCTAAAAAATATTATTGAGTCCAGAAATAATCTTTTTTGAATTTTTTGTGCCAAAAATTGGAGTTACGCTTTCAGAAATCATAAAAAAACTCAAATTTAAATTACGCATTGTCGTAACAACAAATGAGGCGACATTAAAAAATGTTTTCTGCATGCCCCTTCATCCCACAACAAATGAAACCCCTAAATCGTAATAAAAGCCAACATCACCCAGAACTATCCCCCCATCACATCGAGAAGAGCTTTCACGACCCTTTGATACATAAAAACCTTGAGATTGCTCTCGTCAACATCAACCCCAACGTCCACGATAATCGGATCCGTCGAAAGGTAGAGAGCCATCATAAATTTTCCGTCATGCGTCTGCTGGAGAGTCTCGTAATGCACAATCTCCAGTCGCATCAGGATTTTCCTCAACTCTTCAGAGATACTGCGAGCAAATTCTTCAGTTTTCTGAGCATGGGGCTGGTTGAGATCTTTCGCCAGGTTGTGAAGCCGCCTCACGATGGACCACCGCTGACACATGAGATCACGTTTGAAATAGTTTGAGGATTGACGAGGGCTTGAGGAGGCCTTGCTGATATTAAGAGTCATGTCACTGAGTCGACTGTTGAGAATTGATGGTGAAATCTGGGTCTGGATTCCTTTCAAAGGTGTCGCACTATCACTACGAACTTCATTTTCCATCATCTCTTTCGAAGTTTCGGAAGAGTTTTTGACTTCAATAGTTTCATTCAATCTTTTGTAGAGGTTCGGTGGCTTCGAAGGCGTTGCATTTTCCCCATCAAGTTCATTTTTGACAGTCAGTTTTAAAGTCGGTGAGTCTTCAACAACTGCAAGAGGTACGTCACTAAAATTATCATTCTCTTTGTAAACTTTATTTTTGATCGGTTGTCCTAAACTTGATGGGTATCTGATGACTCCACGAGTCATGCCACCAAATCGTTTCATAAGATTGTATTGTGGGGTCTGAGTTTGCTTCAAGGGTGTCAGATTCCCCCCATAAACTTCGTCTTTGATAGATTCTTGTGGAGTTGTCGAAGAGTCTTTCATAGCTGCATCGAATTTGCTGTTGAGATTTGATGCTGATATCTGGTGCTGCTTCGAATGAGTAACATTCCCCCCCTGGACTTCATTTAGAGTTGCTGAAGAGCCTTTGATGTCTTCAAGAGTTATCTCGCCAAATTGTTTGCTGATATTGGATGACGACTGGGTCTGCTCGACACGTGCCCCACGAATATCCTTTTTCTCTGAAGAATCATCAGTGCAAGGATCGAGAGAACCAGTCTGGCTGATATTCCCATTGCTCTCGTTGGACTGAATTCCACTCCTGTCGATTTTCATCGGATTTCTTCTCCCCAACTCCTCGATCAGTTCCCTCACGCTCTCCCTGGTCTCTGACAGGAGAATTATCATGTTCCTAGCTGCAAGGTGTTTCGATTGCTTCTTCGTTCTTCCTTCCCCCTCCCTCGTGAATGGACCTACTGTGCAACGAGTAGTGAAGAATCTGATGTGAGTATTATCTGAGTATCCTTGGTCTTCGTACTTTGGGTGGGGGAGGGCTTCTCGTCTGCATATGTCCTGGAAAAGTGAATGTGAAGGTTCCCGGTCAAAATAACAGAGCTGCGGGACACCCTCAGAAAAGTGCTCGGAAATCGACCGACCAAACGACCAATCGCGTACCACACTGTTAAAAATTTTTGCCTGAAATTTCCGGTACGCTTTTTCGAAATTTGCGCCGAATTCAGTAGCGAAGGGGTAAAACGGTACAAGTCAATTTTGACTATTGACCAGTTTTCAATGAATATCTCGGAATCGAAGGGAGATAACAAAATTTTTGTTATAACCCGTTTTGTAGAGCCAATTGAGAGCTACAACAAATGTGTGTTTGGTGAGGAACTAATTTTAGGGTGGATGTGGGAGAAAATGTGCAGGGAGATGCTGGAAAATTAAATTGTCACTGATTATCAAAAAATATAACTCAATTCATTGTGGGCTCGAAATACTTCGTTAATTAAATAGGTACATTTCTTTGGTAGTATCGGCACTGTTGATAGTCTTTTCAAATAATTTGTTGAGTCACTGAATTTAACACTGAATTTAATCAAAACTGAGGTGATGTACTGGACGTAATTGATGGAAAATTTAACGAGTAAGAACGCTCGACTCTCAACTTCATTACGGCTTCGATGCTGTAATACAACCCATGCGATCTTCTCAGTAGATTTCAACTACTTTTCGGGGGTTTCGCAATCCACTGACCGCTCAACCGAAGGTTCCCGATGATGCTCGAGGATTGTCGGTAGGACCGACCATTTAAATGATAGATATATCTACGTTTCAAACAATGTGATTACGAAAATTTCGCTATCTCCCTTAGATTCCGAAATATTCCTCCAAAACTCAACTGGGAGATAAGTCGACTTGAACCGTTTTACCACTTCGCTACTGAATTGAATTGCCACTGAAATTTCAAGGAATTTCGTCATTACAAATTCAGCATTTCGTGGAAAATTCAAAGAGAACTTTAATTTTTAACTTCCCGACCCGAAGGGAGGAAGTCATTGTAATGACCCCGAAAATCGAATGTGGAAATTTAAGCATTTCTCCACGTTTCATGACCTTTGGAACCACTTCTGACCCTTTTCAGGTACCTGTCTGTATGTGTGGATGTATGTATGTGTGTTCGTACGTCTGTGACAAAAATTTTGTGCCACGATTCCTCCTGAACAAACGATGCGATTTGACTTTTTTTTTTTAATCGCTGTATTTTCATGTGAGTTGAACCTGATTAGATTATGGAGACGATGGAGACGACGTTTCTCCAGTTTTTTCCAAAAAACATTTGGAAAAAAGTCGAAAATTAGCGTTTTTTTGTAAACGAAACCATTTCTCCGTGCATAACGATGCGATTTCAAGTTTTTTTTGTTAGAAACGATGAATCTTGATATAACGCACAAATCATGGAATACTGGAAGACATTTAATCAGCAGTTCACTAGCTTTTTTCGAAATCGATATACATTCAAGAAACAATTTTACTTTTCTGATAAATTACATCTTTTCTCGATGCGGAATACGGCGATGTGTGTGCATGGGAGTGTGTGTGAGTGCGAGCACGCGCACGGATTTTCTTGTCTTCTATGGGTATTTCCTCGGAGAAATGTGAGAAAAAGATT